CGCGCCCCCCCCCCCGGGCGCCCCGCCAGCCAGTCTCTTCCCTCCTGGCACATCAGCGTGGTTTGGGGCTGCTCCTGGGTACTCACGTGGGCACACGTGTGCAGACCTGTGAGCCTGCCCGTGTGGCTCGGGACATCTGAGCAGGCCCAGCCAGATGTTCTCAGTTATGACGCCTGCTTAATGGTGGAGCGGGCAGTGGGGCTCAGTGTTCTCTGTTTCCAGCCTGTGTACGTAAAACCTCTATTCCGTGTGGTCCCTAGACAAGGCCGACAGCCGGAAGATCTTCATCGTGGTGGGTGTGGTGTGTGCCTTGCTGGTGGCTCTGCTCATCGCAGCCCTCTACCTCCTCCGAATCAGACAGAAGAAAGGTGGGTACCTTCTGCTCTTCCTCTCTAGGGGTTTGCTCCTGGGATGTCCTGTCCAGAGAGGCCACTAGGCTGCAAGGAACTTAATGCATCCGGACCGCTGTGAAGTCCAGAGGTTGCAGGGCTGGGACTGGAACAGCAGCTTCCACATGTCAGAGTCTGGGTGGGTCACTCAGCAGCCTTCCCCTGAGGTCACTCGTGGCCATCACTGTCCAGGTCTCACCTGCCCACAGGGCCGCTATTGAGGTGGGAAGCAGGGAGCTGTCAGGGTGGCAAGAATGGACCTGGGGACCCTCCTTATCTGTCTTCAGGAGCCAAGAGTCTTTCCTAAGAGCCACCTGGTAAATTTCTACATGTCCAGGTTATGAGCTGCCTAGATAGGAGCTGGGTGGGGATGGCCGTAATAACCCTACACCCAAGGCTGTTGGGAGGACTGAGGTGACCACTTGTAAAATGTCAGGAAAGGCCTGGCCCGCAGCAGGTGCTCAGTGTCAGCTCCTGATGTCAGTGCTGTGCGTGAGTCTAGAAATATGAGCCACACTCTGGAAAGCGCCCTCCAAGGGGCGGGGTGTGTAGCCTTTGACTCCGCCACAGGAAGGGCGCAGGTTGGAATCCAGGACATAATCCTCATGTGAGGGGCAGGGTGTATTGCCTTTGATTCCACCGCAGGAAGGGTGCAGGTTGGAATCCAGGACATAATCCTCATGTGTGTGTGCGTGTGTGTGTGTGTGAGATGTGGCAAGGCTTCTGACTTTGAAGTCATACAAACTGGCGTGCCAGACCACGATATATAGGTTAAACTGTCAGTTTGGCCTCCACAAGCTTCAACTTCTTCATCTGTAAAATGTGTTTAGCAGTGTTTCTATTGGAGGGTAGTTACAAAACCCTCATAAGCACATATGAAAAAAGAAAAAAAGAGTCTGATACATGCTAGGACCTTAATAAATACACATTCTCTTTCCTGCTCTTTGAGGAGACCATTTTAAGCTGGTATTTCTGAAACCTTTTTATACTGTAAGTGGTAGAAATACATTTCACGTCTCAACCCAGCACTCACACACCCCTATATATAAAAGTGAAACTCTGGTATTTTCTTTTTTGGCATATTCTCCTTTCTGGTAGAAAGGCTGGTTGTGACCCACCGCCTTCAGGGACAGGGTTGTCCCTAACTGCCTTTCCATGCCTTGATGCCCAGTGCCAGCTGAACTCAAACAGGTGTCATGCGTCAGCTACCGTCCCTTTCTGCACCCCTCCACCTCTCCCCTGCCCCTCCTGGGCTGGCAAGAAGGACTCTATGGACTGAGATACTGGCCAGGCCTTCAGTGCCATCTGGGAGGGCTGGAATTGGGTCCCACCTCTCCAGAATCTTCCAAATGATTTTCTTGAAGTTCCTGGAGAGCCCCACGCAAGAAGGATGTGGGTGGAGGAGCAAGGTGCCCAGCAAGGGAGGCCAGCCAGCCATGGGGATGGAGTGTCCGTGGCAGCTATTAGTGAAACAACCGCCATCCTTTCTGAGGCTCAGCCCCAGGCACCAGGCCAGGCTCCTGGTATGTGTGAGCTCATTACTGCGGGGTTAGGAGACTGTGACCCAGTGTTGCAGAGGAGGAATGGGGGCTTGGAGCCCCACAGACACTGAGGAAAGCTGCCAGGCTGAGTGACAGGTCTCTGTGCAGAACCCAGCTCTCAAACAGGCTCCAGGCATGGTGACATCTAGCTCTCACTCAGCAGTCGCAGTGTGCAGAGCTCACAGTATTCTAGGGTGGTGACAGTCCTCACCACAGACCACAGGTGGCATTGCTAGCCCCTTTGCAGAGAAAGAGCCTGAGGGCAGGAGTTACACAACTTGCTCAGGGCCACAGATCTGGCAGGAGGGCAGAAGGACCAAGGTTCAAACCCAGGGGCCATGCTCAGGCATGCTCTGGACACACACACCCCCTTCACCTTCATGACACGCCCTTCCTTCCTTGCCTGGTCCCAAGGAGCCCACCCATCTTCCACCTGTTAACACTCACAGCGGAATATCCCAATTTCAGTGCCACCATTTACCAGGTGTGGGGACTGGGAGGTTTTTGGCGTGGAATTGGGCTGAGTGATATTTCATCTCTGGAGTCCCAGGGACACTTGCGTCCTGACTCTGGCACCAGCCCACGAGCCTCCGTCCAGACATTAGATGCTGAGCCACTGCTGTCCCAGCTGGCACCCGCCGACCCAGAGACCCAGTACCTGCCCAGGCATCGGTAACCTGGCAGCGAGGAGTCGTGCACCGTGGCAGCCTCCAGCCTGCCAGAGCACAGCGCAGAGTGCATCTGAGTGTGCGTGTTGCTTTTTAATTACAATTTTACAGCAAGACGAGTCAAATGGCTGCCGAACTCCAGAGGCTTCTCTGTGGGGTGCCCCATATCACAGGTTAAAAACCTCTGAGCCAGACAGATGCTTGCTTTCCTGGCAAGATCCTTTTTTTGAGAAGTAGTGATGTGTAAATTAATGGATGCCCAGCCCAACCCTGTGAGTTATAGAAACTCAGAGAGGGAAAGTGATGGACCCAGGGTCGCACAGCGAGTGAGTTAGACAGAGCTGGGATTCGCAGCTGCTCCCCAACTCACAGCCTCATTACAATCTGTTCTTTGGCAGTCGAAGCCCCTTAGTGGGGCCCAGAACTTGCAGAAAGGTCTGCACTGATGTTTGTAGCTGATTGTAGGCAAGGCCCACCCAGAGACAGGGCACTTGGCCGTCCCAGGCTGGAGCAACTTGGGTACCCTTGGTAGGACCAGAAAGGGAAAGGAGGAAGGCCTAGCTCACTCCCTCATGGGCTTTCCCGGTGGGAGAGAATGGACCCCCCTGGGTGAACCTAGAGGGTTCCTCTGGTTCCAATCTATGATTTCAGTAATTCTTCCCACATCCATGGAGGAAAACCTTTACTGAAAAAAATCAGAGAAGTCTTTAAAAAATTCATGGGAAATGCATATTATGAAGAAACTATGCATGGATTTCAAAATGTTTTTGCACCAAAAGAAATCCATTCTTTAATTCCATTTTCCCACAACTTTTTTTTTGCAGTTCCCTGGTAGTTATAGAAGAAAAGTGTGTTCCTATTAGAGTTCAATAACTGGCTTTTGTTTCTTTTCTCTTTCAGCCAAGGGTTCCACTTCTTCTACAAGGTAAGTGGATCCCCGGGCCAGGCCTTGGCAGTCAGTATTTGGTAGTTGGACAGACCCGATCTCTGTTGCAAATAGTCCACACCTGACCTGCACCGTCTACATCGCTCTTTCTTTCCTTTGCACCTCCTTGCTCCATGCCTGTGTTGTATAACTGTCTCAGCTGAGGAGGCCCTTATCTCACACCACGTGGACTGTGGCCGAGACCTCCGTGCCTTCTGAACTCACAAACAGCCTGCACACACCGCCGGACGCAGCCTCCCAGATCCAAGCTGTATACTTGGCTCTTCCCTTCACTCAGTAAATATTTACTGAGCCCTGGGCACGGCATGACCCTGGAATGTGGTGGGTAAGAGAGTCTGTGCTCACAGCCTGGGCAGGGGCTCAGACTATGCCAGCCCAGCACAGGTGATGGCTTGTGGGTTCACGTTCACAGTGATTCGTGGCTGAGTCCCACTGTGTGCCAGCTCTGTTCCTGGTGCCAGGGATACGGCAGGAACAAGAATCGATCCAGGCTCTCCTGGGGCTCAGACACTGATAAGGGAGGCAGCGATAAGCAGGGGAGTGAACGATCTGTAATGTTTTACCAGGTGCAAAACTCGGGCACAGCACAGGACAGGGCGTAATGATGGGGGCTGTCAGGCAGAGGAAGGGGCTGGAAGGAGAGGAGTGGAGGAGATGAGATCAGAGAGATGCAGGTCCCAGTCTTTTAGAGGAAGCCCACACGGCCAATGTGTTAGGAACCTTCTAGTAAAAAGACTTTTAGGCCCAGCCGCGGGGGCATGCTTGCTGAGCTACTGTGCTGCATTGGCTAGAACAACATAGGAGACCCCAGTTCAATTCCTGATCCACCCGCAAATTCAGATGCAGGGGCTTGTGCCTGTGACCCCAGTGACTCGTGAGAGTTGGGCATGGCGCTCTGCACCTGGAGCCCCAGCTGGGAGACTGCGGCAGGGGCATCAGGACATGCCCAGAGCAAGTCTATCTAAAAGGGAAACACAAAGGGAGTTTCTGCTTTTGAGAGAGGCCCCTGATATAGCACCCCATCATCTACCACAGGAATGCACCTGCATGGTAACATGGATAGTACTTAAGGCGATAGATAAAAATTACAAAATGGTTTCGTGTTGGTTCGGGCTAGGTTTTGCCATCAAACAGGTTGTGCAAATCTTCTGATTTTGTTTTAGAGCTTTCTGGAGCTCAGAATTGCAGAGCAGAACTCAGGCTCTAGAGTGGAGGCCAATGGTCCACGTATTTTGAAGGCAGAGCCAAGAGGTTGGAGCAGTGGGTTGGATGCAGAGTCAAGGCTGGGGCAGTGCAGTGCTGTGTCCTGAACTGGAGTCTGCCTGTGATGAGTTGTGGTACTGGGCAACACTAAGCACTATGGTTGCGACGGCAAGAGCTCCCACCTGCCCCAGGGGACTCTGCCCTCGGGTGTCCCTCTCCTGCCCGGCGCCCTGAGCCCGATGTGCCCTTGGATAAAGCCTTGCCTCCTGCCGTGACCTCCACAGGAGGCTTCCTAGTCAGCCCTGCCCAGCCTCCCAGCCGCCTCTCCCCCGAGCAAGCGGACTGACCTTTCCATGGCACCCGGCTCTTCGCTGCCTCCCGGGGCAATGTGCTTTCCTACTGCCATTGCCACACCTCTGCCTGTCACATACCCACCCTTAGAAACCTTCAGTGGCTTCCTATGGTCCTCAAGGTAAAGTCTAAATACCCTCGTGAGGCCTCGTGCTGGCTGGGACAGTGTCACTTGTGGCCACCCCAGTCCTTGCAGTTAGTGGCTCAGTCACATTGTGACTACCTTCTGCCAACACAGCTGTCCTCACTCCTACTCACAGGTGGCCCCAGGTCTCCCCAACTCCAGTGGGCAGCAGACACTGTGTTCTGTGAATGGAACCCCCTGGAGTTGTGCAGCATGGTAGCCAGACCAGGCAAGACCCCTTTCACTTCGTCACTTCCTACTCTTCCCTCTCTGCTCAGTGAGGGCCTTACCTCCTCTGAGGTTAGGGGCTTCCTGGGAGCCCTGCTGGACCCCAGCATTGATGCCCTCCCCCCAGCCCCGCCATGTTCAAGCTATCTATCCCTTTCCCATTTTGTAACCCACTACTCTCGAGAACAGAGACCAGGCCCCCTTGTGTTCATTGCTGAGAGCTGCTGAGGGTGGCACGTGGCTGGCATGGGATTGGTGCTCCATCAAGTTTCGGTAAATGAACAGACGAACGCTTGGCCTCTCAAATCGCTCAGCCTCCCCCGTCTTGTCCTTCCCTGAATCCTTAAAACTCCCCTTCTCGGTGGCTGCACAGCCCCGCATCTCGAGGGATTTCTCTGGTTTGTTTTGTTTTTGTTGCTGTCATTATTTTTTACTTGTTTTACCTCCCCGTTTAAACAATAAATCACAGTAAGTTCTAGAAGTCAAGGACAGTGTCCCTAGTCATAATGACAGTAGTAGCAACTGACATTTATTGGGGCGCTTACTGTGTTCCAGGCACCGAGCCGCTGTGCCTGCCCAAATGTGAGTTTCATGATCGCAGAAGCCCCGTGCTTTATTATTATCCCTCTTCTGTAGAACAGTGGCTCTCAAACTTGAGCATGTGGGAGGATCCCTGAGAATCTGGTTAAAACACAAGATGCTGGACCCCGCCCCCAAATTCTCTGATTGAGAATTTGTATGTCTTTGTGGTTTGCTTTTTTCTTTTTTGTAATTTGCCAAAAGGCACATGCGCTTGCTGGAGAGAGACAGGGAGTGGAAAAAGCAGCCCTCAGTGGGACGTGGTCACACCACCATCCCTTCTCCTCCATTTATCCGTCCTGTCAGGACTTTAGGTGCACACATATGTGTGTCCAGCATGGTTTTCAAGCCACCAGGGTTCGAATTCAAGCCACTCAGTTGACCATGTGGGATCAGGCTCCCTTAATCACTAGGCTATGGGCTGGCCCTTTTGAAAGTTTGTATTATTTCTTCTATGAACAAGAGACAGGGAGAGAGAAAAAGAGCACCCCAGTAGGGTCTTCACACTGCCGTCCTCTCCCAACCTCAGCCTGCCCAGTACGTGGCCACCCGCCTGCCGGGCATGTTCAGGGAGGTCTCTGGACAGAACCCCGAACCTTCCCATGCAGGTCAGTCTTACAACACATCGTGTCACCGCTGTGCCACTGCCTGGCCCCAGAATTTGATTTCTGCCAAGTCCCAGCTGGTGCTGGTACTGTCTTTCCCAAGCCACACCTCGAGAGCCCCTGTCCTGGGTTATTGCCGTCCCAGTCACGGAGTGGAGGAAACTGAGGCTGGAGCATCACGCGACACCCCCAAGGCCCCGCAGCGCGGACGTGCTGGAACTCCGACACCAGCCCTGATTGCTGACACGCAAGCTGGCGCTCTTCACGGCTGCCGTGCCTCCCGCTGCCTATTTCTTCTTCCCCAGAGAAGCCAACCATTTTCTGCCTGTTTTTTATTTTTCCAGCATGAGCCTACCAAGGGAGCCATGAGATCACTTGCTCCCTTTCATCTCTTTAAACCAAAGCGATAGCTAGTGAGTGGCGATGGCCGTTTCCGAACAGCTGCTGGCTTCGGCTTGGGCTTGCTGGGATCAGACGCTTTCCGGAGGACGTTGGCGTGAGGGACAACTGGGCACCTCAGGGAGAGTGCAAGAGGGGAGCTGCCGCTTTGAGCTCAAAGGGCCCTTCAGTTTGCAAGGCCAGCAGAGGGACCGGCTCTTTCTAACTCCCCGGGTTAGGAACGCACAGGCTAGACAGCGTCTGTAATCTTCCTCAGCTCAGACGAGAGAAAAATGTGTCTCTGCTCCCTTAATTGGGCACTGGGGTTCATTCAGTCAGCCATTCGTTCGCTTGTCAGGTATTCACTGCATTTACTCTTGGAATATTTAGGGCTTCCCTGATTCTTTCATTTATTCCTCTGCATGGAGCCCAGCTCAGTGCCAGGCCTAGGGGCTTGCTAAGGGGAACAAAAGAAGCACTAGCCCTGGTCTCACGGCCCTTATGATCCAGTGGGAGGGATGCTCATTCAGTCACTCTGCAAATATCTATAAAGTGCCAATGATGAACCAACTGAGTGCCGGGCATCAGGGCTGTGGGGCTGAACCACCCAGGCCTAGTCCCTCCCCATGGGGCGCTCAGGTCTCCTGGGGAGGCAGGTTACTAAGGAAGCTGGGCAGTGAGTAAATGATGCCGCACAGAAACTGACTAAATCAAATGAAGCCGGGTGAGGGGTGGGGCAGAGCAGGGCTGGGGTGTGAAGGCTTGTCTAAGGGGGCCATGACAGTTGAAGGATGGGAAAGCGCCAGCCATGGGCATATCTGGGGCAAGAGTGGCCCAGACAGAAGAGCTCCCAGGCAACAGCAGCAGGACATGGCCACAGAACAGGGAGGAAGCCAGAGTAGCTGGAGCCAGGTGAGCAGGGAGAGCTGGAGCCTGGACAGTGTGGGGTAGGCCATGCAGAGGCTCACCAGGAGATGGGCCTCACCATGCAGAAGCAGGAGTTGACCTTTTCGGGACAGAGTGTGCTGTCATGACAAGTTTTCAATTGGAGCACACCCGGAGGCAGGGACAGAGACAGGGTGGCCAGGGAGGAGGCTCTAGGAATCCAGGAGCTAGGATGAAGGAGGTGACAGAGTGACTGGGTTTGGCATATAGGAGGAGACCTTGAAAGGTTCATGGGAGGAGCCAGCCAGTGACATGGTGGTAAAGGAGCCTAGATCCCACATGGCCAACTGGACAGTTTGAGTTCTGGACCCAGTGGCTTGAAAACAACATGCTGGGTGCATGTCCATGAGTTCCCAAGATCCCAAGAGGAGAATGGAGGAAAAGGGATTGCTGCATGGCCATCCGCACCTAGGGATGCCTTATTTCTCTCTCACTCTCATTCTCTCTGTCTCTAGCAAGTACACGTGCTCATATAGAAAAAAAGGGGGAAAAAAGTTATTCTTGGGAAATGCATGTTATGAATGAACTATGCATGGATTGTAATTTTTTTGATTTATTTCTCTCTCGCTCTCATTCTCTCTGTCTCTAGCAAGTACATGTGCTCATATAGAAAAAAGGGGGAAAAATAGTTATTCTTGGGAAATGCATGTTATGCATGGATTGTAATTTTTTTGGGGGGGGCACCAGAATAAACCTTTAATTTCATTTTTTCACAAACGTTTTGAAGTCCCTTCCTGTATTTTGGAGGTGGAGCTGGTGAGCCTAACAGTAGAATTGATATGGGTTCTAACTGAGCTGAGAGAAGAATCGAGGTGACCCCCATTTTTCTAGCCTGAGCACACTACAAACCAGGGTCATGCCACTCACTGGTTGGGGGGGGGCACCAGAATAAACCTTTAATTTCATTTTTTCACAAACGTTTTGAAGTCCCTTCCTGTATTTTGGAGGTGGAGCTGGTGAGCCTAACAGTAGAATTGATATGGGTTCTAACTGAGCTGAGAGAAGAATCGAGGTGACCCCCATTTTTCTAGCCTGAGCACACTACAAACCAGGGTCATGCCACTCACTGGGACAGGGCAGGCCCAGGGACAGAGAGACCTGGGAAGAAGGATGATTGGTTACAGTTAGAAATACTGCTCTGAAAGAGGGGAGCACAGTGTTCTGAGAATGGAATTTCGGCGATCCATGAAGATTTCCCCGAGAAAGGATTGTTTAAAAGAGGATTGAGGGCCAGGCCTGTGGCCTAGTGGTTAAGAAAGCCAGATCCCAACGTGGCTGACCACAGGGTTCAAATGCAGCCACAGCAACTTGAAAACATACCAGGTATATGTGTGTGTGTGCCCCAAATAGAGGAGAAGGAGCTGTGGCATGACAGTACCCAGTCGGGGTGATTTTCCTTCTCTCTCTCTCTCTTCCTCTCTCTCTCTCTCTCTGGCAAGTGTGCACACCCTGTAACCAAAGGGGGGGAAAAAAAAAGTCTGAAGGAAGTAAGAGAAGGAGTGAAGCAATGGCGGGGCAGGGAAGACTGACTGTGCAAAGGTCCCGGGGCAGGCAGGCTGGCATTCATTTCAAGTCACCTTTGAGCACCTGTACTCATGTCGTGAGAGAGCATGACAGAACTTGTAATCCAGATAGGAAAATGTGCATGGAGACGAGATTGGGGGGGGGAAAAAAAAGTCTGAAGGAAGTAAGAGAAGGAGTGAAGCAATGGCGGGGCAGGGAAGACTGACTGTGCAAAGGTCCCGGGGCAGGCAGGCTGGCATTCATTTCAAGTCACCTTTGAGCACCTGTACTCATGTCGTGAGAGAGCATGACAGAACTTGTAATCCAGATAGGAAAATGTGCATGGAGACGAGATTGTCCTGGAGGGGCAGCCAGCCAGCCTGCCCTTCAGAGAAGCCTTCCCAGGGAGGTGACACCACAGTTGTGTTTTGAAGAATACGCAAAAGTTAACCAAGAGAAAAAATGGTGAAAGGGATCATTCAAGGCTGTTGAAGCATACAGCGTGCAGCACCAAGTAGCTAGGTGGGTAGTGGGTAAATGAGGACAGGGCAGTGACTGTAACCACTCAGACGGCCTCTGAGCTGGGCGTAGAGTTGGACTTGAACCAGACAGGCAGCAGAGCCCAGAAGGACTGGAAGCTGACGGGCGTGGCTAGATCTGCTTGATCTCTCCTACCAGACATGTCCCCCTCCTGAGGGCTGTTTCCGTGGCCACGTGGGACTTGTCATGCCCCAGAACTGCTTTCTGAGCCAAGTACTCATGCCAAATCCATTAATAACCCTGCTGCCAAGCCCCATTGCTCATTTCTGACATTATCCAGGCTAACATCCCCAGAGTCGCTGGCTTGAGAATTTACACAACTCCCACAGAACCAGTGGCTCTGGCGTGCCTATCACCTTGACTGTGACCCTCCAACGAGCCAAGCCCCGGCCTCCAATTACAGAATCAAGTGCATGAACAGCTTCTTTGATTAGCCAGGACATCTTGGTGTTCCTCTTTTCTTTTTTTAATGATAACACATCGATGTTTATAATATAGAACACTTGGAGAATATAGGAAACCAAAGCGAAGGGGAAAAAAAAAACACGCAAAGACCATTGCTGTGAACGTTTTGCTGTGTTTCCTTCCAATGCAATCCACACATTTTTCCTAATTGAGATCATCCCACAGAGAATGTTACTTTTTCACTTACCGTTTTAATGTAATCGTTTGTCATTTTTTGCGAAAATGCCTCCTCATAAACGTTGTAAGTCTTCATCCATGGCGCTTCCTTTCTTTCTCTAACCAGTCCCAGTTGCCAGAGCCCTACAATATAAACCTCCCTCCCCCATCCTACCCATGAAAAATGCATTTGTGCGGAAAGCTTTTTCTGTATTTCAAATTCTCCGCACCACCCCCCCCCCGAAAAAAGTGCAATGATGAGTCAAAAGATGACGACACCTTCTAAACTCTCGATTTGACCAGCTGCTTCCCTGAAGGACTGTACCGGTTTGCCCATCCCACCAGCAGTGTATGGAAGGGCCAGTTAATTTCATAGTCCATCCCCAGCACCTGGTACTCTAATTCTTAAAGATCGTTGTCAGTGGAGTAGGTCAAAAAATGAATAGTGCGGGGAATCAGCAGTTAGCGTAATAGCTATGTTGCTGGACTCCCACGTAGTTGACTGTAGTTCGTGTCCCGGACCCGGTGGCTTAAAACTCGCACCAGGCACGTGTGCGTGCATGCCCAAGATCCCGAGAGGAGAAGGGATTGCGGCATGACCATCCCCCCGGGAGGGTGATTTCTCGCTTTCTGTCTCTCTGTCTCTCTCTTTCTGCCTGGCGAGCACACACGCCCTATAGCGAAAAAAACCTCTCCAAAAGAAAAAAAGAATAGTGCGTTGTTTCCAGTTTCTTTTTCGTGAGAGCGACCTTTGTCCCGACGTTTGATGAGCACATGCCTTTCTGCTGTGAATCCTCCTCCCTGTCCTCGGCACCTATGCAGGAAGTGGAACCTACATGTTATTCTTATCAATTTGCATGAGCACTTGAGATAGTGAGGATATTTTTATCCACGTGTCTCTTTCCTTTTTAGGTTGCATGAGCCCGAGAAGAATGCCAGAGATATAACCCAGGTACGGTTCTTGGTGAGACGCCCTTCCCGGGAAACTCGATGGTGTGATTTCCTCACATCACCCAGAGTTGCAGACCCAGTTCTAAATTAAGACTCCATCCCTAGGCTGGGAGGGTAGAAGAAGCGTCCCTTCCTACTTCTTGCCTATGTCCTCTGCAAATTCCCCCTTTCAGCTCCGACCAGAAGTGTCTGCTGCAGCCTCCTTGACTCAGTGCTACCCATTGCATAGCTCCAGGGGGCGGCCACTCGCTGTTCTGTATACAGGGTGCCCGGGGTCAGACTGCAGCCTCCTAGCGTGGAGGGTGCCTTCCTGCCCCCTGTGCGTGTGCCCAGGCCATTCTCTCCACCAGGAACACTGGCCCCAGCTCACTCCCGTCTCCTCCCTGCAGGCTGGCTCCTCCATAGAGTCACAGCCCAGCTTGCGAGGGCCTCTCTCGCCTCTGCTGATGGAAGGACCCCATGTCATTAATTACCTCACGCAAGGGCACACTCCCTCGAGCTCGCGGCGTGTGCTCGACATTGCTGAGGTTTTGCAGGCAACGTGGTTGGCCTGTTTCTGAAAAAGCTAGCCCTGTTTATCACCGGCTGACGCTGTCAGACCTCGGAGGCAGAGGGCTCCTCAGTGTCGTGTAACAAGACAAGCCCGGCTCGGAACCTGGGAGCCGGAGAGCGCCAGCTGTCCTTGACATTTCCCAGACGGTTGTCATCGTTTTAGATATAAACTGTTGAAAGGAGCAGGGGCTGGTGACAGGCATGGGATTTGCAGGTCACAATCCCATAGCCTACTCTTTTGACCCACTGTGGCTCCAGCAGCCCCGAGTACAAGCTCGGGTCATACTTAGAGAAAACAGGCATGGCAGGGGGAGACGTCTCCCCAGCCAGTTTACCTCTGGATCCTTCCAGGGGCCTTCGGTACCAAATTCACATTTTGGCAGAGACTTGCAAGCACTCACCATGTACCAGGCCTTGGGCAGCGAGCAAGATCATCACAGCCCAGCTCGTGCAGAGCCGAGCTTGTGTCCAGGGTTCCCACTGCCAGGTGCCACCCTCGCCAGAGTGGAGAATCTGATGCTGCCAGGCAGAAGAGAGAGAGACCCCGCAGGGCTTGGGCAGAGGAGCTGTGGGGTCACACCACAACTTCAGAGTCTAATAGACTCTGGTTCTTCCCAGCATCGGCCATATCACTGAACAAACCTTAGGCCCGTTTCTTCCCCTGTGCAATGGGACAAATAATTCTTCGGCAGGGTGGTGGACAGGTGACCGCCCATGATCTGTGCAGTCACGTGCGGCCGATAAGCCCAGAGAACTGAGATGTGCAGTGATGGTGTGCCAGCCAGGAGCTGCGGTTGGCATGGGCAGTCCGCTCGCCTCACGTAGCAGAGATGCCGAGCACACAGGGAGCGGAGTTTGTCATGCACGATGTGTCATTCGAAAGCGGCCGTTGCAGGTGGTAGGATTAGCACCGGGAAGTATTCCAGTTTGCTAAGCAGTTGGTAATGGCTAACATTTATTGAAAATAAGTGCTCTGTATGTGCCTGGCTCTGTTCTAGAGGATTTACCTAGTTAATCTCATCCCGATCCTCACAGCAGCCTTGATGGTAGACACGTACGACCCCTCTCTTTACATGTGGGGAAACTGGGGCCCAGAGAGTTAAGTGGAGTTGCTCAAAGCCCCTCAGCTAGAGAAAACAGATCTAGGATTCGAACCCAGGCCTTTTGACTCCACAACCTTGCCACCCCCGCTAACTGTTGGTCCCATTCTCACACAGCCCTGATTCCCCATCTCCCAATCCACAGGCTCTCCCTGAGCAGGGCAGAATTGTTGTCATTCGTTCATTCATTCATTCAACATGGGTCAGGCTGCCTCTGTGCCAGCTTTGGTTTCTGCATCATGAGAAATGCCCGTTGACTATTTGTTAAATGAATGAGTAAACAAATGACTATCCCCACCCTCTGGGAGATTGACACCTACTCAGGCCCCAAAATAGATACGGGCCCTAGATGATGGGTGTTGTGATGGGGAACAGACTGAGGAAGCACAGAGAAGGAGCCCTGAGCCCAGCCAGTGGGTGTGGAGGGCAGGGAGGGGGTCTTAGGAGGAAGGGATGCTTGAGCTGAAACGTGCAAGGTGGGCTGGGAGTCATTACAAGGGAGAGGGAGCCAGGCAGAGAGCTGAACATGGAAAAGGAGGCGTGAACCGCAGATGGTGCAGCAGGAGGAGCCAGAGGAGTGACATTGAAGCAGGGCTGGGAGGTGAGAAAAGACCCTTCCAGTGTGTGAGGAGGAAGGTGGATTGAAAGGCTAAGGTAGCCTTGGCAAGAGCAGACAGGAGCCTGAATTAGGGCTGAGCCAGCGGCCAAGCAGAAACAGAAGCAACCAGACTTGGTACCTGAGTGGAGGGAAAGCAGACTGGGGACTCCAGACAGACCTTCTCTCCGTCTCTCTTAGATCCAGGACACAAATGATGTCAACGACATCACGTACGCTGACCTGAACCTGCCCAAGGGGAAGAAGGCGGCCCCCCGGGCCCCCGAGTCCAACAACCACACAGAGTATGCCAGCATTCAGACTGGCCCGCCGCCCCCGCAGGAGGACACCCTCACCTACGCCGACCTGGACATGGTCCACCTTAACCGCGTCCCCAAGCAGCAAGCACCCAAGCCCGAGCCATCCTTCTCGGAGTACGCCAGTGTCCAGGTCCAGAGGAAATGAATGGGACCGCAATTGGCTCGAGGGGCTGCCCCCACGACCTTTCTCGTTTCACATGGAGCAGCCGTGATGAGGACAGCCAGCCCTGTTCCTGGAGGGCAGGGTGGCACAGGCCCTGGGACCCAGGGGTGAGGATGACTCTGGTCTCCCCAACCCCTCGGCTCCCCGGCCCTTCCAGGGCAGCCACAGCCCCACACTGTCACACATCTGGAGGCCAGTGTTGCCAAACCAGTCAGGGAACCCACCTGGGAACTGGCAGAGTGCTGTGTGTCCAAGAACTCTGGTGCCTCCGTCCGTCAGCGTGGATCTTGGTCACGGTCTTGGAGACCCTTAACTGCCTCCTTCATGCTCTGAAGCCTCATTTTCCAAGGTGAGGAGGAGAAGATCTCACCTCCTCCCATCACCACTACCATCACCACCACCACCACCATCACCATCCAACTGGGGCTTTTAGGGATGGCCTTCCCCGTAGATCGAACTGCCCCATCCATGGAAAAGCTGGGGAAAAACTCTGGGACCAGAGACTAGGTGCAGTTGCTGCCAACAGACCTGGCCTCCCCCATCCCTAGGCTGACGAGCCACTGCCCTAGGGGAGCAGGGGACCCTCCAAGGAACACTCCCTAAAGGACCTCAAGACAAAGCCCTTCTCTGCCTCGGACCCCTCCACCACTCCTTGGGGACCCATCATCCCGACTGTGACACTCTACATGGACCCACCTCTCCTTCTAGACCTGAGCTTGCTTCCTCCAGCCGGCACTAACTCGGCCACATCTCGCTGTGGACGCCTGTAAATTACTGAGAAATGTGAAATGTGCAATCTTGAAACTGAGGTGTTAGAAAACTTGATCTGTGATGTTTTGTTTTGTTTCTTTTCTTTCTTTTTCTTTTTTTTTTTTTTTTCTTAAAACAGCAGCGACATTATCTTGGCTCTTTGTCGTGTGTTGAAGTACATGGTTGGGTCTTGTGAAGTCTAAGATTTAACAGTGGGTCTTCCTGGAGGGATTTTCTTACAACAGAAACTGTGTTCCTCCGAGTCTCCGAGCCCCAAGGAGGAGGAGAAAGATCAGCGTGGCTGCTTCGTGGAGACCTTTAGCCTTCTCTCTGGGACTGCCTTGGTCAAGTTCTCAGCCCAGCCATGTGGCTGGCGCCGCAGCCCCTGTGACCCCCTCATGGTAAGTCCGAGCCTGCCCAGTGCTCCCCCAGGCTGCCTCCTTGACGCTGCAGCCCTGTTTAGGCCTGAGCCTCAGTCTGCCTGTCTGTAACAAGGAAAAAGGGAAGCTGATGCCCCTCCCCGCCAGCTCTCACAACCACTTTTAGGGATATGCACAGGGTAGGGACCACTGAGCTTGGCCATTGGTCCCACCACTCCCTGTTCCAGCTCTCTGAGCTTATCTCTGAAGGAGGAATCTTCCATTTCTGCTCTCAAACCCTATCAGGATCAAACTGGAATAAATCAAAGACAGCCAGGAGCACAGCACAGCTATGTAGGCAGGGCCGAACCTTCACAGGAGGTTGGGCAGAGGCTGTGACTTCGTGACCCTCTGACTGCCACCTTGATAACTGGAAATGAGGGCCTGACCAGGCTCAGGGCAAGCAAATGTTGCAAGCCTGTTTGGTCTGTACGCATGACTCAGCGTGGAGACGCTACTGCCCATGACGCTGGGCCATGGGCTGCCCCAGGGAGGCCGGCTCAGGCTGTCACAGCACAAAGCCCAGCCATTCTGCCCATTCCTGCAGGTCCTACAGGAGGAACTGCAGGAGCTCAGCACAGACAGTTCTCTGGGGGATGGCAACTTGGTGATGGCATTCAGGAATTGGCTGAGCCCACAGGCCATGTGGGCAGCTTTGGCCCCATGAGCCACAGCTCTTCTGTGGCATCTGGGAGCCACTGTGACCCAGCCACCTGGCTCAAGCTGTTTCCAAATTTCAAAGAGTTGCTTATAAATCCTCGTCTCCCTCTCTTCTGCCCAGAGAGAGCACACGTGTGTGCCTGCGTGCACGCACACGCACACACATACTACACACACGCTGAATTCAAACAGAATGTTTTCTTGGTGCCATTTTAATTTAATTTAATTTAAATTTTTCGGAGGGGGGAAATAAGGGAATGAGGCCAAGGAAGACGTATAGCTTTAGCTGCAGCCTGGAGCTCTCCCATACCTTGTGTACTGAACCCCAGGAAAAGGAAGATGTCGCAACAACACTGCGGAAGGAGCGTGGTTTCAGGAGTTTATTTTAAGACTGCTGGGAAGGAAACTGGCCCCATTTTGTATATAGTTGCAACTTAAACTTTTTGGCTTGCAAAATATTTTTGTAATAAAGATTTCTGGGTAACAATGTCTCCTTTGGGTGTTGCGTGTCCTTATCTTTGTGAGTGGTTCCCAGGGGCCTCCTCAGAGGCTACGACTGTCTGCCTTCCCCAGAAGCTTGGAAGAGGCTCGAATGTGGCCCCAGGACTTGGAAACGATATGCAGCATCTGATTCTCACTCTTAGGTTTTGTAGACATGAAGCTTATGTTTACCCTGGCTTAGAAGGACTCTTGGTAAGGTTGTGACAAAAATCCACCGAGTTCAAATCCTGGCTCTGCCACTTTGTAGCAGTGTGCTTTGAGACAACTCTGCTCTGAGACTCAGGCCTCTCGTCTGTACAGTGGAGACAGTAATACCCACTGCCAAGGTCTCTGTGGGGATTAAAGGAGGCAGCTAACTGGGCACCGCTGCCATGGTGGCACATGGCAGGCCCTCCTAGGTGTTGGGTCAGTCCTTCTGCCCTCACCTCTTCACAGCTGGTTCTGGCAGCCCCTCATCCCCTTGGGATGTTGGGCAAGGGGTTCAGCTCTCAGCTTCAGGGCCTCGCCTTCCTCGTCTACCAAACTCAGAAATCTAACGCTCATCCTGCATCCTTGCCGGAGGACTTGTGTCATGTGCTGGTACGTAGTAGCTGCTCAATAAACGTTAGCTTCTTATCTTCCTTCTATTAGAATAGTGATAAAGATTATTATGTAATGATGTTCCTGTATTAATACAAGGGGTTTTCCAAAAGTTCATGGATAAGACATAAATAACTATGTATGGATCTCTTTCTTTTTTTGCACCAGAATAAACTCAGACCTTAATTCCATTTTTCCATGAGCTTTTTGAAGTCCCCTTACTAATAATAAGTAATGCTGACTGTGTGTCAGCATTTTACATTGCTGGGCTCCTTTAAACCATACAGCTCCATGAGGAGGAGCTCATGTCATCGAGGCCATTAGATAGACAGCGCTCAGAGCCATGCAGGGTCCTATGCTCAGGCTCAGACCCAGGCTGTCTGCTTGCAGTGCCTGACACCCAACCTCTGAGTTAATAATCATGTCACATATGAGGCGCTGCCTGCAAAGTTAGCCATAATCGCTAGTAGGAGCTATGATAAGTATTACGCCAAGCGCATTAAATTGGGTCATAAGGGGACCAGCAGTTGGCGTAGTGGCTATGTTGCTGGACTTCCATGTACTCAGCCACGGTTTGAGTCCTGGACCCGGTGAGTTAAACTCACACCAGTCATGTGTATGTGCGTGCTCAAGATCCCGAGAGGAGAATGGAGGAGAAGGGATTGTGATGTGGCCATCCCCCCTGGAGGGTGATTTCTCGCTTTCTGTCTCTCTGGCGAGTGCACACACCCTATAGAAAAAAACTCTCAAAAAAAAAAAATTGGGAAATCGGAAAAGTCATGATGTATTTTTGCAGAAAAAAGAAAGACATCATGACTTTTCTAAAGACCCAGTAGAAACCAACTTGTTTAATCCTCCCAACTGGTCAGTGCAATAGAAACTCTTCTCTGGTGTGTTACAGGTGAGGAAGCCATGGCACAGAGAGGGTAAGTCATTTCCCCAATGTCCCATGGCAGAGCCAGGATTCGAAACCAGGAAGTCTGACTCTTCCCCAACACTTACTTACTTCCTTGTTTAGTTTTCATACATATCAGAGAGCTGCGATTGTGCCCATTTCATAGAGACAGAATGTTGAGCCCCCAAAAGTGCACGTGGCATGTCCGATCTCACATGGTGACTCTTTAATCAAAGTTGGGACTTGATTGCACATCAAGCCTACTGGAGATCTTCCCTGCGTCCTTGGTCTGTGTCTAGGGACTGCCCAGGTCAGGGAACTTCCTGTGAATCTCAGAGAGGTCACCTGTCTCAGGTCAGAACCTTGACTGTGACCTCAGCAGGTTCCAGGTCCTCAGCCTGAGTTCAACTCTTCACCTCCCTGGAGGCCCAACCGTGAAATCTGCGTTTGCTTGCAGGGAAGGGATGGTGGAGGCATGAATCCAGGCTGAGTGGGTGGGGAAATGCCTTCCGTTGTCTGGGCAGGCGGGAGATGATAGACTGCGAGTCCGGACAAGGAGACTTGGGGGGTGTATTTTATGCAGCACCTGGGCCTCACTTCTCCACGGCCCAAACCTCCAGGGCTGGAAATTGGCAGGTGAGACAAAAGTTGATGGGAGCCAAGTGGCCCTTTTCTGCCCGCCAGAAAATCATTCAAGCATTTGGCATTTATTGGGCACCTCCTCCAGGCTCTTCATTGTGCAAGAGAATAAGACTCCTTCCCTCCATGCAGACCAGCCTGAGGCTCTAGCCTACCACCTTCCTAAGACCTTGTTCACTTTCCATCACAATCAGGAAACTCCCCTCCCCCCAGATTCCAATGCCCAGCTGTAAAAGCCCCCATGTCTTCTAGCATATAACCAAGAGCCAAGACCTGATTGAGGTATAATTAATTTTTAATTATTTAATTTTATTAATTATTATTATTATTTTCAATTTGACCAGAGAAAAAGGGACAGAAATATACCTTCATCTTTTTTAAGAGATATTTTTGCTATAGTGCAAGCGTGGCTGCCCGAGACACACACACAGAAAGAGAGAGAGAAAGGGAAAGTGAGAAAACAAACCACCAGGTCTAGGACTCGAACCATAGTTGGCCATGTGGGAGTGTCCAGCACCTTAACCACCACGCCATCAGCTGGTTAATTTTTACATAAGCACATACTAGATCTCAGAGACTCTAAACTTGTACATATAGTAATTAATATCAATCCAGCCTCTTACAAACCTATAAGGTAGACACTGTGATGATGCCACCCCCCCCATTTAATTAAAAATTTGAAACACAGTATGCATCTTGCTCAAAGGTGGCACATAGGCCTGACCCAGTAGGCACTGGGTTGCTGATGAGACAGCAAGTGGGAAGCCACAGACACTGAGTGTTGGAGGTCCTGTCTGTAGTCGTGATGTCACCACCAAAGAATGTTGGAGAAACAGGGCGGTTCCTGTCACCTGCGTGGCACCAGCCAGCTGAGGCACCCTGGAGCCTCCTGAGGGCTCCACCTGCCACTCCTGGGATCTCCATCCCTTTCGCCTTATCCTCCTCTTCACCACAGCACCAGGGTCAACCAGGCCCAGGGTTCTTTCTGGAAGACAGGAGTAAGATGTTGCAATGCTTACTATTTATTATTTATTTATTTATTTATTTATTTATTATTTATTTATTTATATTTGACTAGATAGGGAGAGAGAGAGAGAGAGGAAAAGTGAGAAAGCAAGCTGCCAGGTCCAGGACTTGAACCATTGTCGGCCATGTGGGAGTCCAGCGCCCTTAACCACCATGCTACCTGCCAGCCTCCCATGCTTTTTAAAAAGACTTGTGCCCCAGATGTTCCAAAGCAGGTAACAGCGTGGAGACAGAGCAGAATGACTGCCCTGGTAGGGAAACCAGGGGCGCAAGAGTGCGGGTGTTCTCTGTCTGCTCTAGCATGCTGGTCGCGTGGGGCTACACGAGCAGAAACTCCCCCTCAAGTTGTGCACTGAACATGCGTGTGCTTTCCTGTGTACTAGTGACACCAAGTTTTAGCAGCACTGGTGCCGTCCCTTCTCCAGCCTCGATACCTGTGCCATCAGACCGCTGTTTAAAGATGACAGCGATGCCTTGTCTTCACTCCACAAACCCAGCCCAGGGCCTGGCCCAAGTGAGGGGCCTGAGGAGGGCCGGATGGTGAGTTAATTCAAGAGACAGCATCCCAGTGGCCAAAATAGCGCATGCAAGGGTGAAAGGAAACGTGCCAAACTGGGCACAAAGACCAAGGACAGTCGCAAGGATAAACCATTTATCTGTCATCACTTCATCTGCCGAGACTCCCTGTAATTACTCTGCCCTCCCTCCCGCTCACCCTGCGCCCCACACTCCTCCTCCCTCCCATGGGCATCGGAAGCAGCTGCACCGGAGTCCTTGCCCTGAGACCTTGGGCAAATGGCTTCTCCTCAGAGCCTCCATTTTCTTGCCTGTGAAATGGGGACGGTAGCAGTCTTCGCCTCTTGTGAGAGTTAAACGAGAGGACAGATTTAAGAGCCTTTGCAGGAGCAGGGCACAGACAGCAGCCAACACGCTCAGACAAGTGCACAGACGCACGCACCTACACACAGACGCACTCACACCCACACGCATTTATACACTTACACACAGACGCCCACACACACTCATAGCCACACGCGCACACTCATTCTCACACCTACACTCACACACCTATTTGTGCCCACACGCTGTCACATACACCTTCTCAGATTCACACCCGCACACTCTCACACCAAGGAGGAGGGTACTGATGAGACAGTGAGTGTTGGAGGTGCCAGTGACAGTCGGGAAACACCATGTGATCTCACCATCAAAGAGCATCAGAGAAGCAGAGCGGTACCTGTCACCTGCCTAGCACCAGCCAGCCAAGCCACCCTCGAGCCTTCCCAAGCCCCTAGAGTTTGCAGAGGCAGTCCATGATGGCAGGTCTCCTCTCTTGGCTGAAATAATGTTATCAAGTCCCTTTCTCTCTCATTAGCTATCAACTGCCTCTTACCAACATCGGGGAGTTCAACGTCCCAGCCTGGTTTCCAGGGGCCTCTTCCTCACCCCCACCTCCTGACACATCTAAGGCTGTTTCCTGCTCCTCTGCAGCCCCAACTGGACTCCCTGGCCAAACTGGTCTTCCTGGCCCACCGAATACCAGGTGGCACCTCCATGATTACCCTGGCCCCACGGTGAGCCATTCCGCTCATGTCGTGGTATCCTCCCAACCAGGCCATGAGCTCCTCAACACTGGAACTTCATGTCCTGCCTTTGGGGTCCAGCCCCGGGGATGAGAGGGGTGATAGTCCATCACAAGCCAGGCAGGATCTTGGGCACTTGAATTCCTTATTTTACAACAGGGGTCCCCATCCTCCCAGCACCAGGGGCTAGCCTCTCCATGGGCAGGACAGGGTTGGAGGGTTGTCCAAGGATGACTCAAGCAGCACAGTACATCCTATTTCCACCACT